TATGAAGGTCGAAAGGTGTTCCCGGGACGATAATAAAGTAAAGAAATCGGACGTTATCGTAAACTTTAAGTCTTGCAGTATGAGAATGACATTGTTTAGATGGTTGAATGTGTACATTAGAGAGGAGAGTTATAACTTTCTATCGTTGTTGATGAGATATTTGATTTTTTTCTGACGATGTTATCTTAACGGTAAGGTGATAAATTTATTTAAAATATGTCGAAAGTTTAGGTGGAAAGTGAAAAATTGGTTTACGCACGGATCGGATCTCATATTCACTCCACCCTTTTTTTAAAATCCCACTTATGATAGTGTGATTTTAATATGTTCTGTCAATAAAATTTGTGGTTAGAGGTATGTTTACATAGGGAATGTTCGGTTTAATTTTTTTCTTTCTCTCGACAACAATTTTATGGTTCATTAGCCGCATCAATATGTCGCGTCACTATAATAAAAGAATTTGATGTGAAATTTAATATTATGGATATATACAGATAAATCACAGCGCGTGTCAAACTCGCGACAATATTTATTGCTCGAGGTTATAGGACGGGAGTGTCTTCCAACCTGAATGGTTGGTTCGTCGGTTGAAGTTCTCGTTGACCTGGATACGAGGGTAACAGTTCAAAGTTTATGATGAGTCTCTATTCTCTAGAACAGTAGTTCTTAATTACTGTATATATAAATTAGGTACTGTATATATAATTATATACTGTATTAACTTAATTTATTGTAACTTTATTATAATTATATATATACACTTTCCGCCGTCCAGCGCCACGCTACGGAGAGTTTAGGCGGGTAAATTGAGTTTACTATCGTCTGTACAGTATGTAAATTAGGTACCGTAAGTATAATACAGCACTAATTTTATACATTTCTTGTGAAAGAAACATTTCTTATTCAACGGCCATAAAAATTATTTATATTAATGATGTTTCCGAAGTTCAACGAAGTTTTCGCAGAAAAATAACTTATCAGAAATCGCCCGCCGTTTGGTGCGCTGCTCCGCGACGAAAACAAGCTTGAGCAATGGCAACGTCGAACGGTGCACACTCGGTAAGTAATCCTACAATTTTTTTTTTATAGCATAGTTTATACGGATTATTCCCAAAAAAATTATACATATTATGGAAGTGTTGAGTCGAATTAGTCTAGAATCGGTTAATTTTATGGAAGAAACCTTTCAAACAGCCGTAGTCCGTAAACTGCACACGTGTCGGGCTGTGATTGGCAAGGACTCGTACAAAATGGATTCATAAAGAACGGAACGTACTGTATCTACCGTGTTATAGGGGAGTCGACTGTATTTGACTAAGTGCATTGTTTTAAGATTTAAAAAGTAAAGTTATATTTTTATGTACGTTTCTTTACAAAGCTATATTTAATTATAATTTTCTTTAAAAGTATATTCATACAATTGAAGAATATTTTGCACCAGGTATGTACTGGTACATCCACCACACATTTTATTTCACTAAGTAAGGTTTTATTATTTTATTTTTAATTGTAGCCCTTATATCGTGGTTAGCGATTCGGAATGTAATTGTCATATTAAAAACGCATTTAGAGAAGTCTGTACAGTTTTTACTGACTTATCGAATGAACGATACGAGTGGACCCTAGACCATCACAGAGACGCAACTGACTGAGTGCCCCTGTGTGATGCCCCGGAAATAGCCCCCCAAAAAGGAAAGACATAAAAAAATTTGTTAAGTTAAACCGACAAGAAAACAAATTTATAAGTGTCGAATCGGCGACACCGGACTTTGACGTCGACGCTCATAAAGGGTACAAGGAAAAACAAAATTTTAGATATAGAAAAAGAAAATTGTAAATTTTAAATTAAGACGCAGTTCAGAAAGCAAAACGAAACTAGAAAAAATATCAAAATGAGTGTAGGTGTCATAGTTAACAATTAAAGGCGATCAGAGTCGAAAAGATGGTGTCGGATAAACCATCTGCAGCCGACCTTTCTCGCGAACTTTACGAAGCTCCATTTACACCTGGAGATAGGTGGAAGACCAATTAGAAAACGGTGATGTAAGGTCTATCCAATTAGCAAGAAGCGGATCTCGAAAAACCTATAAAAGCACCAATTCCAAGGACTTCCACTAAGACTTCCACTAGACTTCTGTTGTGTTCGTGTATCTCCGTTTTTTTCGTGCATCCTTTCATCTTTTGTGCATCGACTTTTGAGACTTCGAACTTTTCGTTCAACGCTGTCCATGGCACCTACGACGCTGGACCAGATCGCCGCCGAAACTCCTAGGACGCAAGACCAGAATCAACGTCGAAATTTCCTACAACACAGGACCTTTCCAACGAGAGAATTTATGTAAGCATTATCGTCCGGAATAAACAGTTTGCCTCTGTAAAACACTTGTCTTTGCTGCCTTTAAAGACCGCCACCCACTTACGCGTAGACCTTAGACCATCCCGACGGTAGAGAATAAAAATCTCCCCCCAATCGGCGTTCTTACACCTGGATGTCGGCTTCTCACAGAAACACAGCTTCCCTATCATCAAATGTTACGGCACGCCACTGGAGTCAGAGCTGGATTCTTCCGATTGACATTCTGAACTTTCCTATCCGTGACAATTAGAAAAAATTGTAGACCTATTAATTCTCACTGTCTTAATCTCGAGAACGGAGTTAGATGAAATGCGAGACCAGATATGGAAACTTTAGGGACAGGAGGCTCCAATTAACTATATATGAACTTTCGATGCAAACCGGAAGTCAAGTTATTTCAATTCAAAACCTTTCTCAAAAGCAAATAGATGCTAACGGAAAAGTATGATGTACTGTACAGGGGCAAGACACTACTAATTTGACGTGGAGAACATATATTTTAAATTAAATGATTTAAAAATACGATTACAAATCGCAGCCCGGCATTGTGACCATGTCACTATAAATAATTGTTCGTAGTTATAGTTTGTGAAAATATTTGCAATGAAAAACCACATTTTGACCTTTGTCACGTTACCAACCGCAATATTGAAGTTAAAATCCTTCTAAGAGGTAATAAGGAGTTAATAATCGTGAAAAATGGAAGAAGCGTTGCATTTGCCCATGAAAAATAGACAAAGAAAACATGCCAGTAGACTGATACTCCATTAGGATGTGCACGAACTGTGCACTATATCCATCATTGTGGATAACACAAGTATATTAAGACGAATTAACCTTTTGTTCTTTATGTTATAGAAAACAACTTTAGATCTGAAGCCGTCAGCCCGAATAGGGATTGGAAAATTACTAATCCGAAATGCATTGTTAAATAAATAGGCGAAATAAAGAGAACTGTTTTAATCTCGATCTCTGTTAATTATGCGTAATTAAGAAAGACGTGATAGATATCGCTAGTCTCGCTATTGGAAGAAACATTCATTTATAACTTTTTATACGTTCTCTAGCCTGAATCCGCGAAGTGAACTACCGTCCTTCTCCCGAAGGCTTTGTACATTTCTAACTTTCAAGTTGTCTCGGCCGAGGCACTATTTTTCATTTCTAAGCAGTGAAATATAATTCTCTATAAGACGATAGTAACGATTTCATGTCATGTGTAACTCTAAAGCTCGTTTTTCATTACGATCATACTTGACAAATTTTGGTTAAAATCGTTCGTGTAAAAACAGAAGTAGGTGTACATTATTTTTTTGTATGAGTCGATAGAACAGTGTCGTTGTCTGTGGTCTTAAATCAGATTAGATTTATACATAGGTTTAAAAGCAAGAGGTCCTTATTTAGCTATTATTTGAAGGAAATGGAATAATATTTTGTTATAGCTTAGGATTACGTGTTTCAATCCCATCCTTACTGAAATCAAAGTTGGCAAACTTTTATAGATGCGCCTGCCAAAATAAGCACGTTTAAGTACTGGGAGTTCAGCCTCGTCAAGACGGGCTGGCCACGTGATTTTTTCCGGGTTTTTCTCCACGTGTGTATTGCCTGAATAGGGACCAGTTATCTTTAAAAAGACCTCCCGGAAGGCATCTCCTTAGGCAGATCGCCCAAGTGTTGCGTTGCCATGAATAAATAAATAAACTATGCCTGACACATCATTCTCCTTAAAGCGGTTCAAAAAAGCAATATATGATCGCTTTCTAGTCTAGCTAAGCGACTTCTTACAGGAAAGAATTACAAATGGGCGATGGAGAGGTGTCCTTTCCAGCCCCTGTATCCTAACAACACTCTTCTCACAGGAAAGCGTAATTTCCCCTTTTATTTTTGCTTTTTTTTATGAAGGATATATTAAAACTAAAAACCAACAATATCCTTCTGTACATGTAAGCCGACATAACCACGATAATCCAAGTGACTCCTCCCACCAATTAAAACTTTACACTGCTAATTTCTTAAGGGCTTTAAAAATGGTCCACATACAATCACGTTTCCACCTAAACCCAAAAATGTGCAATGTTAAAAATTCCTCACTCCAAATCCAACATTACCAATGCACCATCAACAAATTAATTAAACAAAGACGCATCAGGCTATCCATTACTACCGTCTTCGACATTTGGCGTTACTCAATCTCTCAGCTGAACGTAGTTTCTCGCGGTTGAAACTAATAAAAAATTATCTTCGATCATAAATAAGCCAAGACCGATTTACATCTCTGGCTATTCTTTCAATAGAAAGCGAAGTTAGCAAACTCAATCAGTTTTGATGACGTAATCAAAGATTTTGCGGCGAGAAAAATTATGTAAAAAATATATGTAGCATCCTTTGTATGTATACTGTACTTATAATAAATAATTCCTTATTGTGAAATTTAAGTACCGGTATAGGATTTGAATGTATTCTGGCCCCGCAGAAGATAAATACGGGAATACAAATATTGATCTTACTACCGACTGGTAAATGCAAGTATTGCCCAACGGCACCCAACAATGTCATACGCCGATTAGACGACTGCGTACAATTTTCCAACATAAGACGACGATTAATACAAGAGTTACAAAAGACGAACAACAGCATTAAGACTAAGCACGTGCTTAACGATACAACCGATTTATCTGTGCACGTGCATTTTAAAGCAATACTTTCAGAAATATATAAAATATTATAATTACCAGAGGACGCCACTGTTTCGACCAGATGTGAAAGTTCGCGGGACGAATAGCAGAACGGCTCCTGCCCAACCTTCGTCAAGTCACCTGTTGCATAAGTTTATGATTTTTGTACTCAGTTTCTTGCCGATCTAGTCTACACTCAGATTTTCAACAGCGACGATTTCTTATAGAATTCATAAAACAATTATCAATTTTCCAGGTTTATAATTATTTTTTTTTACCATGTCTTTTATCGAAGTATCCGCTGATAGTCATTTTCCAATTCAAAATTTACCTTATGGCATTTTCTCTACCGCTGGTAATGTGAGTATCTTTGTTAATTTGAATAAAATTGTTTATAGCTAGCGTATTTTTTTATCTGTCGCTTGAGTGTATATAGTATAGCACATCGCGTCGTTTCGTATGTATGCTTTATAGACACCAATGCAAATTATGTATCTGCAGCTTTGATTTTAATTGAAAGATTTGCATTAAATGTATATTTAAATATGCATTTACAATATATTGCTATGTTTAACAAAAATAAAACGGATAGATCAGTAGAATTGAAGCATGCGACACGACACTGGCTTGTTGCGGCATCAGATAGCATTTATACCTAAATATTTGTGCATTTCACTGATTTTTATTTACTGATTTGCATATTAAGGCTTTTTTTTTTCATATTGGATTTCTTATTTAAATATGTACAACCAAAGAATAATGAAAGGCAAAATGCTAAAAAAGTTTCATCTTTCATTAAAATATAAAAGATAATCAATTTTAATATAAGCTGACTTATAAATTACATATAAAAATATATGTGCAAGTCAGTTAATATTAATATTGATTATAAATATATAAATTTATTAAAGATAGAGAAATGTTTATAAGAGTATTAAACTTTATAGTATTAATTTTAATTATTTTTTAGGGGGTTAAATTATTACACATTTACTATATATTTAAAAATTAATTTAAATTTATAGAAAATCTGGAATAATTCATTTAAAATTTAATAAGTTCATAGTTCATAAAAAGTTTACTCTGTAGTTCAGATGTCAAGTATGATAAAATATTTGCTTATATTACAAAATTTATTTTAAAATTTATATGTTTATTAATTGCAAAAATAATTATGTATGTAGATAATTATGTTATTATTATAATTAACATTTTATGTTTTTTTTATTTGAAATCTTTTATAGTAAAAAATTTTTATTTTTGAAGGAACAACCAAGACCTGGAGTTGCTATTGGAGAACAAATTCTTGATTTATCAGTTATAAAACATCTTATCAATGGACCTGTAATGAAAGACAAGCAACATGTGTTCTGTGAAGTAAGATTCAATGATAAAATTCATCTAACAGATTATGTATAAAGTCAGTTAAATATGTTACACTATCGAAGTAAATTAATTTAACAAACAATAAATAATTATGAATATTTAAAGTATTTATATGTATAGTATTTTTATGATTTATGTTACAGAATATTTAAAATTTCTGAATAATGATAAAATCATTCTGATATTTTAAAAATGTATAGGCATAGTTCTTTGATTTTTTTCAAAGAACTATGAAAGAAAAAACTATACAGTATTAAGATATTTTGTAATTTTTAAATATTTTTAAATTTTAAAAAATTTGCAAATGAAATATCTTTTTTTTAATCTTAAGTATAAATTTTACAAATTAAAATTAAATTATTTTTATAGATATTACACAATATGCATTCTTGTTACTTAATATTTATTTTTCAACACTTCAAAATCAAGGTTTTGACCTTATATAAGCTATATTTGTTCATTCAGTTTAAATTTCAAAATTTATCTGCAAAGTTGATTTATACTTTGTAAATAATTTATTCTTTTCATATTGTTTATTTTTTAGCATTAAAAATTATATTTTACTAGGTTAAAGTATAATTAAATTTTTTAAGATTTTAAAGCAATTGTTATTTTTACTTAAGAATATAAAATAAAATGATAATTGAGGGCTGAGTGGAAAAATGGTATATCCCACATTAGGAAGTTTTTGAGAAAAAAGAGGGTTTGTGCTTTAATTCACCAGCATTTTAGTGTGCATTATTTTATTAATGTGGATGGACAATCTGTAGGGCATGTAACTGAACCATGAAAGTTTCTTATTAGATGGATTGATGATGCAAAAATCCCAATTTGTTAGTAATTCATTTTTTCTAATTTTATGGGATATGCTGTTTTCACTCAGCCCCTCAATTTAAATACAAACGATAATATGCTGTCTTGTCATTATGATGTTTCTTGTTGATAAAGAGACAAATAAATAAATAAATGAAATATAATAGAAAATATATGTTATAAAAATAAGCAATGTAATGTTTCTTCAAAAATTTTAGACCACACTAAATTCTTTCATGTCACTGGGAAAAGCCAACGGCACCCAACAATGTCATACGCCGATTAGACGACTGCGTACAATTTTCCAACATAAGACGACGATTAATACAAGAGTTAAAAAAGACGAACAACAGCATTAAGACTAAGCACGTGCTTAACGATACAACCGATTTATCTGTGCACGTGCATTTTAAAGCAATACTTTCAGAAATATATAAAATATTATAATTACCAGAGGACGCCACTGTTTCGACCAGATGTGAAAGTTCGCGGGACGAATAGCAGAACGGCTCCTGCCCAACCTTCGTCAAGTCACCTGTTGCATAAGTTTATGATTTTTGTACTCAGTTTCTTGCCGATCTAGTCTACACTCAGATTTTCAACAGCGACGATTTCTTATAGAATTCATAAAACAATTATCAATTTTCCAGGTTTATAATTATTTTTTTTTACCATGTCTTTTATCGAAGTATCCGCTGATAGTCATTTTCCAATTCAAAATTTACCTTATGGCATTTTCTCTACCGCTGGTAATGTGAGTATCTTTGTTAATTTGAATAAAATTGTTTATAGCTAGCGTATTTTTTTATCTGTCGCTTGAGTGTATATAGTATAGCACATCGCGTCGTTTCGTATGTATGCTTTATAGACACCAATGCAAATTATGTATCTGCAGCTTTGATTTTAATTGAAAGATTTGCATTAAATGTATATTTAAATATGCATTTACAATATATTGCTATGTTTAACAAAAATAAAACGGATAGATCAGTAGAATTGAAGCATGCGACACGACACTGGCTTGTTGCGGCATCAGATAGCATTTATACCTAAATATTTGTGCATTTCACTGATTTTTATTTACTGATTTGCATATTAAGGCTTTTTTTTTTCATATTGGANAATTTTTTTACTTAAGATGATAAATATGATATATTACCCTTTAGAATATATCCGACTATCTAAGATTATCTGTAGTTAAAGATATTATTTATATTTAACTTAAAACTTTGTTTTTACATCAATGATAATGTAATACTTTAGATTTATCTTTAACCTATACAAATTTTATTTTATTATTCATGAAATAAGTTAGATAATAAATACATAAAGATAAAGATAAAAAAATACATAAAAATACATACTTATAATATATTCTAAATAGTTATGGTTGAACCTGTTGTAGCTGATGATGATGATGAGGTGCTATGGCAAAATGCATAGTGTTCACCATGCATGCAAATTTGCTTCTACTAGTTGCCTGCCAATGGTATGGGAAGAGACAGGATTCTGTAGAAAGCTTCCATCTGTCTCTGAATGGTGAACAAATATATTGCAACTGTTTGTACTTTTCTCACAATCAGATGATCATCTTAGTTGATGGTCTATCTGGGGCATGGCCCACCAGTGGCCAAGTGGTCTTTGTACCCTGAACACTGGGAGTTCAATCATGGGTTTGCGCTTCACTCAGACTGTCTGGTCACGTGGAATTTTGCAGGTTTTATCCACGTCTGTAACGCTTAAATAGGGGCCAGTTTCCCTCAAAAAACCTCCCAGAAGGCATTCCCCCTAAGCAGATCACCCAAGTGTTGTGCTGCCATAACTAAACAAACAAACTATTTGGGGCATGCAAAATCTGTCTGTTGTGTATGATTGTGTGCCCTCTTGTATCCACTGATTCGAACATAATCTCAGTCAAGTCAGAATGGTCAAGATGGCAGAAAATTTGGAATAATGGGCTTCCTGCTTCCTTCAGCCAAATGGTGTGGTTTTTCTCAAATTCCATCAGCAGTGTTTATTGTATTTTTTTGCATTGTACAAGAATGCCTGGCATTTGAAGCACCTGAAAAACAAACTGCTTAGTCTCTTGTTAGAGTTTTCAAATATACATCTCTTTAATTATTATCAGATTGATTATTATTTCAAATCTTTGTTTGTAGTACTCAATCTTGTACTGTACATTGTTTAATATTAAATTATAATTTGCATATGATATGTTATAATACAATGAAAATCATAGAATCAACCAAATTATGTTTTATAGATGAGTTTTTAAAAACCTCTAGTTTGAGTGTTTTTGAAGAGTTTATGAAATTTTTTTTCTTAAGAAGAAGTAATTGGATTGGATTTTATATTTAAGGATCTGTAATGAGAAAATTGTAAACTAGCAATGTCATATATTTATAACTTTTTTAAATTTAATCACTCTGAAGAGACATACTATTATCTGAAAATATTAAAATATTTCTGCATTTTTCCATTCCCAAGTATTGTATACATTACTATTGGCTCTAAGTAATTGTATTTATAGCAGTTACTAAAATTTGTTTTAATTTATTAACTGAATTTAGATTTTATATTTCATTTATGTTTATACATTTTTGTATAAACATAAATGAAATATAAAATGCAAAAAATATGCAGTAATATAAACAAAATACAAAATTTTTAGTATAATTAATATAACTTTTTTAATTATCATACTCATATGTAATTATCATATTCATAATGTAACAACATTACAGTTTTCAGATATTTAGAATTATATATTTTAATATGATGTTAGCATTTTAAAAGGTATTTTTTTAAAATATTGTAATATTTTCTCATACAATTTTTGCAATTTAAATTTTAAATGTATTTGATTTCTATTTTATTTTTAATCTTGAATGTAAAGATTCTTTAAGAAATAAAATTATTAAGAAATAAATTAAGTAATAAATAAGAAAATACTATTAATTTATGATTTCTTTGAATAATTTTGACAAAGCATTATTGAGAAATCTATGAATAACAAATCAGCAGTTATTATATTAATTTATAACTTTATAAAAGTTATATTGTCATGTTCTAAGTAAAAGATTGATTGGATGTTTTTGTTTTTAGATCTTTATTTTTTTATCATTAAGTTTGAATTAATAATTACACAGATACTATTTACTGGGATTTGTTCTGATGGATAGGACTTGAAATAGGTTATCTGGCTGAGTTACTTCCAAAACTTATGAGAACACGAAATGAAATAAAATTTGGATCCTTTACAGTGATAAAAATCATTTACAGTTTCATATATGAAGTATTTAACATTTTCATTTAAGTTGTTTGAGAAATTTTTCATTTGAAAGCCTGATAATATAAAATTAAATATAAAAATTTGTTTCGAAAAATTTATTTATATGCTTTATTTTTCAGAGCCTTTGTTTATCAAAGTGAAGCANAAATTCAAATCAAAATAAAATTTGAATGAATGGTTCCATTTTGGAACGATAAATGAAAACCTGAGGATGGCCTATCCAAATAGGCTGAAAACGTTTGAACAAAAAGTTGTTAACACATTTCAAAAATTTAAATCAAAATAAAATTCGAATGAATGGTTCCATTTTGGAACGATAAATGAAAACCTGAGGATGGACTATCCAAATAGGCTGAAAACGTTTGAATAAAGAGAAAAAACTTGGCAAATAGAATTCAGGTGTGTTCTTATTGTAGCAAAGAGTGTTAATTTCTAAACATTTTCAAGACTTTTTACTTGTATTGTTATTCCAACTTAATGCTATTTCCATCACAACAGAGTATTAAAAAATAATTAAAATTGTGCAAGAGAATTATACAAATCAATTATTCAAACTATTTTCATTTGAGTTTTAGCAGAGTGAATACTAATATTAATGAATTACATAGTTCATTAATACTAGATGAACATGAAATAACAATTTTTATTTAATGTTCAGTTATTATGCTATTGATGATTTAAATAAAACTAGTTGTTCATTTTGTGTTTCACCTGAAATAGCTGTTGTTTTCATAACATTTATATCTCTAGATTTATGGAGAAAAAGTACATTAAACTTATTTCAGAGATTAAATGTATTATTTTGTTAAAGTCAGTTCTTTTTGATAACTTTTCATATCTGTTAATTGATAAATTCAATATTGTTATAATGTCATAAAATATAGAAATTACAATTACAATACTTCTCTTGGGTTTTGATTTGCTCAATCAGTTAATTTTAATCTGTTAATTGATTTTGTTTTCTTGCTGTTATCTGTTTTTCATTAAATAAATATTTGTAAAAGCTAAATAAGATATCATAAATTAATTTCTAATATAAATAGTCAAGTTATTTTTAATAACTTGACTATTTATATTATTTAATGAGATGTAGAATTAACATAAAAAAATCAGAATTTTTTTATTTATTTGGAATTTTAAAGATTATAAATCTTTTGTATTATTGAACAGATCCATATTTTATTCTAAGAAACTAATATATATTAATAATGGGTTTGCGCTTCA